GGGATGCATGGCACTTAGAGTGGACCAAAACTGGTTGGACACCATGGGGTTAGACTGAAACTGGATTCATGAGCAGAGTCAGCATTAAACAAATGAGACACATAAAGTGCTGATGAAATTAAAAGAAATGTTTCACCGAGGCCATGTTTACATTACCACTTGTATCACCAAACTTTTGTCATTCAACAGTGTGAAAAAACACACCCTTGAGGGTATGTCTACACTGCCACCCTAGTTCAAACTGCCATTTTTTAATGCCCCGTAGTTCGAACTACCTGCCCGCAGCTACACGTGCATGGGCTAGGTAGTTTGAATTAAAGCTTCTAATTCGAACTACCATTACTCCTCATTGCAGACATACCCTGAGAGACATGTTATACCAGCATAAGCGGAAGTGTGCACTGCACTACTTTGGTGGCTGAGCTTCTCCTGCCAATATAGCTATCTCCATTTGTTGGGAGTGGTTTAATTAGTTCACTGGGCCAGTTCTCTCCCACTGGCATAGAGCAACCATATGTTAAATCTTAAGGTGATGCAGTTGCATCGGTACAGCTGTAGCCTCAGCATATTCTTGGCTCCATGCTGACCAGAAAAACCTTTGTCCTATAATTAGAAAACTCCTCCTGCTAAAGTAATTGCTCCTTTATACAGTCATATAACAATAATTTTGGAGACACAAATGAGTGAGAGGTTTAGAAATGCCAGACTTAAAAAACCCCCACCTTGATAGCCAATTTTATTGATTTAAAGACCAAATTCTGCTGTCAATTGCACTGATGCAACTTCATTGTCTTCTATAGATTTGGACTAATCTAACCTAACATATAAGCAAGTATATATTGGTTTACATGAGTATATCTAAAACTAATAAGATCCTTCAAAGACAGAAATGCATTCAGTTTTCTATATTAAATAGCATTTATAAAAACAAATGTTTAAAAGGCAGTGAGAGCATAAGAACTGGTAAAGTTATATGAAAGCACAAATGTGTAGATCCTAAATGTATCATATGAACCACAGTTTAAAGAGTGGGGGAAAGTATAGAGAAAGGCTGATTTCTCAAACTATATCCTTGTATTTCAATGCCCATTCACTATAGATTTCTCAGTGCCTTAATCCTCAAGCATAATAGGACATGCTATCATTTACTCATATTATCTGCATTTGATAAAAAGTTTGTAAGTGCTTTGCACACTTCTAAGAAAATATAGTTAAAGGGATATTAGACACCAATACAACAAACTGTACAAAACAGACCACATTTTCCATATCATCCCAAGAAGCATAGAAAGAAAGACACATGTTAGTAATTGGAAGTGCAGACCAGGACTCAGACCTGGAATACTTAAATGTCTTGTTTGTAGGTGGCATATTTTCAAAGAAAAAAAACTTATTTTTTAATTCCTACAGAGTTGAAAAAAACAACAGACAGAGGCGTAGACTGCTTTTGCTAAAAGACTAGGAACCAACTATCGCCAGAAGGCCGGTTTATCTTGTTATCCAGTTTTCTTTTTTCCTGTGATGTCTGGTAGGATGTTGGCACAAAAGCTTCTGGCTCAGGGACCAGAGCACTATTCCAGTAAAATGCTCATTTAAATGTTTGACACAAACCCAACAAAGCAGGTTTTATAACACTGGTAGTATCACAAAACAGCCAAGAGACATGTCATTTACTTTTGGAAAAAACAGAGACATCCTGATTTGGGACTGAAAACTAGTTATGTGTACTTTAAACGTTCACATCCCGTGTTCAGGGTATGTTTACACGAGTACAGGTGAATGTTTTTTTGAGGGAGGTTTAAATCACATTCTACAAGTATGAACACTTTCCAAATTGCCTGAACTGAATTGTTTTTATTTTTAAATCAAATGCTGTACCTATCCTTATTTTGTAAGTTAATACAGTTTTCTTTTTAAAGGGTTGTAATATATGTATGTGAGTGGTCTATCTAGATCAGTACTTGGATTGTAAAACAAGAAATCACAATACAAAACCTAATATAGAGCAGATGAAAGAAAAACTCTCAAAACTTGCCACCCTAACTCACAAAGTACCTAGGTCCAGAAACTCCCCCCTCCCCTGCAGTTTGTGTTTAAGCAGTCACCGAATCAATTAAATTAATATTGACACCGTGGAAATTATTTTTGTACTTATATTGCAGTACTGCCTAGGCCTAACAACACACTAGGTCCCTATTGTATTAAAACTTGTACAATCACAGAAAAAAAATTGCTCCAAAATATGTGGGGGGAGATGTTTGAATGAAATTTGTGGTGTAGTTGAAGGTCACTCTTACAGATTTTGAAGTCAATGGAATTGTCCAAGGGGTGAACTTGATCCAAAGTATTTTTCTTTCACTATATTTTGTCATCCAAAACCCTTCGAGAAGAGCTTCCCACCTAAACCAATGGGTGGTGCTCAAAATGGCTTTTTAATCTCTTGAATCCTAATTAAGTGCCCCAGAACACACAACCTTTACATTAATTTTTTTTTAAATAACTACCTAATAATGCATTTTACTCAGAAAAGGAGCACTATCTAGTGAAGATAAAAATGACAGCAGCAGAAGAGAAAACTGTCCCTTTTTTTCTTTTTTGAGTCTTTATTTTAGGATTATTCTGGACAGAGAGTGAACCACAGGCAGCTGTGATTTTAAATGACATGCCCAGAGCAAAGTGTTGGTATTACCATTTAGTGTGACTCACTAGCCTTTTGGAGTTTATTCAGGTTTCTTCAGATGTCATTATCTGCTATTGTCCACTGACTTGCATAGCACAACCAACAACAGCTTTGTACTCTAAATATCCAAGCAGCGACAGTTGTTAGGGGGAAAAAAACAAGTGGGAAGAGTAAGATTTACCTTAAGGGCTAGTCGTAAGTAAAGCACTTATAAACCCAACATGAAAACAAGTATATTTTTTTGTATTGCTGCCATAAGTAACTCTTTATAACTGAAAGATTTCTGAAGTCTTTTCAATATGTAAAAAGAGAGCCCAGCTGAACTGCACATGCTCAGAACACACACACACACACACACACACACACACACACACACACAGAGCTCAACAAATAGTGTAATCTACTCGCCCATGGCAAGTAGATTACACCCCGGAAGAGCCAACACGGAGCGATCTGCGCATGCGTAGAACGATCTGCGCATGTGCAGAACCACGCGGCTGGCGAGCGGGGCTTGCTGCTGCTCAGCGAGCCCTACATATATATATAAATAAACACTCAATGGCCAGCTCTTAGGATTGCCAGATGGTTGAAACAAAAATACTGAATCCCCCTCCCCCTAAAAAAACGGGAAAAAATTCTGTTGAAGGGGGGGGGAAAAGGGGAGGGGGGAGACCAAAGTTGTTGAGCCAAAAAAAAAAAAAAAAGATCCCAAAAATTCACTGGGGGGAAATAGGTGCTGGTACATCCATCCCAGGGCATGGCGGGGGGTTTTTT